CTTCTTGAATCCAACCATTAGATCCGATATTTACCTTGGGCATTCCGTCACTGCTCGTCACTATTTACAGCGCAATAATGGGATGTGAACACAAAACTGTGCTATGCAGCATGAATATTAAAATAGCAAACAAACTACGAGTGACTGACAAGCCTACTCGTTACATCCATCTCATTGACTGGATCATATTTGACAATCTCCTCAGTACCCTGAGTTGGGACAAATTCTTCTTAACACAGGATGCAGCCTTAGCCACGAACGAATTTATAAACAATCTTATCACATATATCGACCTAACAGCACCCACACTATGGAACGACCCCCATAACGGTAGTAGTCGACGCAATCCATGCTTCAAAGTTACCACCAAAATGAATGAACTCAGATCCCAACATCGCCAAAACAATAACTTTACAACCTTACTGCAAATTCATGAAACTCTACTGAAACTAAGACATTAGGCACTGCAAGCGGAAATCACCGAGGAAGACAAAAGCGCCAAAAATCCGCAAAAAATACAAAGCTTGGTGAAAATTCTCGAAAGGAAGAATTAAAAGCAGAACCATCAAATCCAAAGTCTGACATTAGAAGATGGCTCAACAACTAATGACGTTAGCCAACTGTGTGAAACACTGAACTCTTATTATGCAGCCTCATTTCATCCAGATATCAGGGTGTCCCACCCTCTTCTAAAGCGGAAGACAGATGAAGAGCTCGAGTATTCCCGTGAGCCTAAGTGATGTTCAGAGGAGTATACTCTCCATAAAAGCGTCCTTTCAGCCAGGATCTAATGGTATCCCTCTAGTTGTCATCAAGTATGGATGCAAAAACATTCCTCTGTTGATGTTAAACATCTTCACATTATCCTTAAACAGTGGCTATTTACCTCCACTGTGGAAACATCCGATAATAGCACCAAAACACAAAGGTGGCACCCGATTTGCAATGACAGATTATAGTCCTATTAATCCTACTGCGGCAGCCTCAAGGGCACTGGAGCGAATTGCCAGGAATGGTCTTGTTCAATTCTTAACAAGATTAGACCTGAGAAACAACGCACAGCACGGCAATTTTACGAAGCGATCCTGTGTAACCTGTCAAATACGATTCTTCGAGCACATAGCATCGGTTGCTGACAGTGGCATGACAGTTATCGTCATTCTACTAGACATGCATAAGGCCTTCGATAGTGTGCCATATAAACATTTGCTGACCGTCCTGCACTCTTACGGAGTCAGCAACCCATTGCTAAGCTGGTTTAGATCCTACCTAGAAATTCGGACACAGAGCGTTAAAATAGGCCAGAAACTCTCCTTCTCGAGAGAAGTTACAAGCGGAGTTGTCCAAGACAGTTTACTTGGACCACTACTCTTCCTAATGTATATAAATACCATATATGATTTCATTAAACATGGACGATCATATCACTTTGCGGACAAGATTAAGCTCGTCTACTCATTTCCACCAGATAGGTTTGAGTTGGACCTTAAGAACATGGTTGGCGGCATCCGGTTCCGGATTTGCTTGTCACTGTAGCCAGCCACAGGACGCCCGCGCCTACTGAAGGATCATGGGTGGCTTGAGCAGCACCACCCACAGCTCCAACCACACACCCCATATCTAGTGCAAACTCGAAGGTATAAGATCGGGAGGCATGTGGATGAGAGTCATGTTTCATCAACAGAGCCGGCCCACACTCCTTCACAGGCAAACACAAGCACGCTGTATTTGGGAATCAAGCACATAAAAGACGGTGGCTGGAGTATGGTCCGCTCTACACTGTGTGCATGGAACCACACTTCGAGCCTAGCACGGTCACAAGGACCGTGCACTCCGTCCCATCCAGGGACGAACAACTGTCTCCTGGAGCTAGTATGGACGAGTTGGTGGGTAATAGGCAGGTGGGCACCTTGTCAACATGCACATTAAGCGCATCCACACCGGGGATATCAAGCAGCAGCCAATCATTTAAAAGGACAATAACAAATAAAATAAATCGAATAATGCATACACTAAATGAACCTATAAAATAAATTGCTTACGAACAAATCCGCGATAAGTTCAAGACGTCAAGACGTTAAAAAATGGTACAAACGCGAAAATGCTATCGAAGTTAACTACAATTAGCTTAAGCGACATGTGCAAGTTTATAAAAGATAGTTCAGGTAGACATTAATATAAGAAAAAAAGCATTAGGACAATATAGCAAACCCACCACCTGAAATAAAGAGACTCAGCATGCAAACACATGGCTAGTAAATCGAATGCAGTGTACCTACAAACGCTGCGCCGGTTCTGTCTACGTCGCCTGCAGGACCCGTCGTCGCTTCGGTGGTGGTCCTGAGTGGCCTCTCTCATGGCTCACTAAGCCTGCCTGACTAAGGCACTCGCGACCGCATGTGCTACAACACCTTGCACTCGATGTCGATGGAGTACAACCCGTCAACGCCTGTCGCTTCTGCACTTGCCGCTTCTTCTCTACATGCATGAGATCTTTCTCCCCCACTTCGGCAACTGCCTTCATGATCAGATCGCGCCATGCACGCCGATCAACCGCGTTTGATTCCCATGACCTGCAGTCAAGATTAGAACGTGAGTGGTTTACTTTGATCATGTCCTGGTAACGAAGATTCACTTTCCCCGTATGCCGCCCCACAATACTCAGTTGTTTCGGTATCCACCTCGAATCCATACGGCTTACATGACCAAGCCACCTCAGGTGTCTCAGCAATAGAATGCAGACCACCGCATACATCTCACTTCGATGCAACACTTCCGTATCCGCAACTCAGTCGCACCAGCCGATGCGCACAGTCCGTCGCAAACACTGTTGATGGAACCGCTCGAGATATCGCACATCACGACGGTACATCGTCCACGTTTCACTGCCGTATAGAAGAACGGACAGCACCAGGGATTTGTACCTCATCAGCTTCGTGCCAATGGTAAGCTGATGGCTGTTCCACACTCGGTACT